AATTTCTAATTAATCCTTCCTTTAACACTTTGCAAAAAGAAAAAAAAAAGAATATATAAATATAATATTCTTAAAATTTTAAATTATAAATTTTATTTAAAATTTACCATCTTTTATTTCATCAAGGGAAGGGACATGTAGATTTCTTTTTACTATGGTAAGTTCATTGATATTCAAAGTAGTCATATTTAATATATGAATATATGAAATTAACTGAAAATTTGTTTTTATATTATATATTAATAAAGATTTTAAATAATTTTACATAAATTTCACAATTATGCAAATATATAGTTCAAATATAGTTTATATAAGAACTATATTATTGAGAAATGGTAAAACACAAAAACTTGAATATGTTGTCATCACAAGATTTGCTTTATCTAATCATGTGTTTGAGTATGACCTTATTTCATAAGAGTTAATATCAGTTATGTTATTTTTAATTACAATAATTTTTATATAATCTCTATTTTATGTATTAATAGTTACATATATTACATATATATATATAATTCAAAATATTTTACTGCGCATTTTTTGCATTTTTATTAAGTTTTTAAATTTTCTTTAATTAAGGTTTATATATATTAATAAATTTAAATATTGATGAATCAAATAATTTAATATAAATTAATATATGTATATCATAAAATGTAGCAATGAAATAAAAATAATCAATTTACGAATTATTTTCTAAAGTTCTTAAAAAATTTTATTATTGTATAAATTGTATAAATTCTAAAAAACAAAAAAATTAATATTTTAATACATAATATTATATTAAATAAAAATATAAAAAAAATTAAGAATATATTAATAAATAATAAAAATAATACAAATAAATAATAAAAATAATAAATGATTAAAATCAAAAAAATAAATTTTTAATTTTAGAATTCATAAAATAATTATATTTCTATGGAAAATTTTAATAAGTGCGAATAAGATAATAAGATAAATAAATACGTTTTATGAAAAAAAATTTCAAGTATGAGATATACATATACGATAAAAATTTTCAATTGACGTCAGATACTTACTAGTTAGAAATTACTTATAGTTCTCTTCAGAGATGGCAACACGATGCACTTATATTCAAGTAATCAAATATACGCGCGCGTCAAACAATCTAAATAACTTTATAATCATTAATATTTTCAATGAAATTTGTTATTAATAATTATATTATCTTGCAAATAAATTTTTCTCTTTATACATATTTTGTTATAAATAAAGAAAAAATTATGCATTTTAGATACTTTTTAATAGTATTTCTTTGCATGATGTTTTATATGTTATATATGTATTAAATAAGTAAATATTTAATAATAATAATGAAATTTAAAATTTGAAAAAAGATATATTTTTTATTTTCTATTATATCTATTATATAATATTCTTAATAAAATAAATTTGCAAGATAATTTATAATGTAATTTGTTTCATGTCAAAATGATGCGATATGAAAAATTGAAAAGAGGGTTGGCATATGTCGATGTTCGGTAGGGTTGTGGATGCGCATTGGACAGCGAGAAATCTATCGCGAGTACTAGTCAACGTTCCTGGATCGTATCGTCAGTATGCGGTCGCGCATTCCATGCGAAAACACCTGTTTGTTGTTTTGATTTCTCTATCGTTTTTTCGGTCCTAAATCGCGTTGAATATCACATATTTATTCATTTGTCTAACGTCTAAAATAGAAAAAGAAACTTTTAATCATAATTATTAAATATTTTAAAAAAATAAATACAAACATTAATTTAGAGAATATTTATATTTAATATTCTTGAATTAAAGTAAGAAGGAAAAAAGGGGAAAAAAAAAGAAAGAACAAGAAAAATATTTTGATTAAGAGATTTTAAAAAATAATTAAATATTAAGAAAAATAATTAAAATAAATATAATTAAATAAATGATTAATAGAATAATTTTGAAATTATCGATTGAGATCGAAGAAAAGGAAGCATCGTTAAATGCATATTGGTATATCCGTGTGATAAACGAGAAATAAGAACAAAGATATTGTGGAGGAAGAAAACGAAACATAAACAGAGAGAAAGAGTGAAGGAGAAGAAGAGTTTTAACCGCGAGAGAGGAACGTCCTCGTGATTTCAACCACGTGTATCTCGTGGTCCTCGTTTAAACACGCGTAAGAGCAATTTTCTCTATTGACGTACGCCGGTTGTTCGTGGTTGTTCGTATTGACACTTTTGTCTCTTTGCAACGAATTTATTCGCGGATAGAAACCAGCATGCAATTTTTTTTTAATTTTTTTTTACATGCATCTTTTTTCAACATTAATGTAACCATTATTCCATCATTTTTTCTTTTTCTTTTTTTGTAGCATGCAATTAATTTAAATGTAATTGTTAATTTCCAATTGGATTTTAGAAATTTACATATTATAGATCAAAATATTCCTTGTTAATATTTATGAAACATTTTTCCTTACTTTTATCTATCTTGTAAAATTTCCTTTCACGAAATTCTTTCATTATTTTGGTAAATTAATTACAAAAAAAATCATTTTTATCTATGTGATTCTAGACGATTTCTTGTTTCATTCTCTATAATAAAAAATAAAAAGCTGCAATAATTTTTTTAATTCCAAGATTGCAATTAATTCCAAAATGTAACTTAGTTACATTCGACTCGGATTGAAAATAATTCTTTTAAGAATAGTACAAATTTGAATCGATTATATCAAATTATTTGCTTTTTCTAATATCATATTATCAGGCACGGATAAAAATTTATTTAATACATTTTTCGTCTAACGACTTTTCTTTAAAATATTTAAAATATTATCATTAAAAAGAGGAAGAAAGAAAAATTGAAAAAAGGAAAAAAAAGAAGAAAAAGAAGAAAAAGAAGAAAGGAGGAATACGAAAATTTTTTCCATTAATAACATTCAACGGAAATGAATAACGACAATGATCGATCGATCAATTGTACTTGATAGAGGCGAAAGAAAATCATTTGAATCCGAAATGAAAAAGACGATGATCCGATAATGTTTAGTCGTAGTCACAGTAAGACAGGGATGTGCAACGTATGTATATACGTAAGATTGCAGCTCGTAGATTATTTGTAGTCGTTGCTATTGAGATGGTTTGATAGTAGCCCCTTCCCCGCTCATATCTTTATATCGAGACTGAATGGACAGAGAGAGCAGCCTCCTCTATGAGATAATACGCCTGGTTGTACCTAAGTCATTCAGGCCTGAAGTCGGATCCATCGAATCGCGAGAGATCGCGCGAGGTGAGGGTGGACACCGTAGCCCCTGCAGTCATGCTCACCATACAAAACGAGTGAGTATATCGGTTTGCATGCGATTGGGTAGCCACTCTTCGGCTTCATCGATGCATCTGCGGATACTTGCCATTCCCGTGCTTTTTCATTTCCTCCAGCTTTCCAGAAATCACCGCCATGCCGATGCCTTTCCGCTTCGAGCTTTTGATCATGAGTTTCAGGAATCGCCCTTCAATTCACTGATTATTAATCTTATACGTTCCAGGATTAAAACAAATGATCTAAATCACGAAAGTTAATCCTCCTCGACGATTTTTCGATATATATCGATTTATTTATTTTTCTACATTTTGGCACATTGCGTCTCGTTAATTAATCTTTTCATTCGTTTAAGATAAACTTGAACACTATCTATCCGTATATTATATCCATTGATACGCGCTTTATGAAAATCTTGCTTTTATAATTTCGGGTTCTTTTCCCCCCCCTCGACATCTTCTCACCAAAGAATAAAGCAGCGACGCTTGGCTTAATACATTCATCCACTCTTTAAACTTTCTTTCAGCGATGGAAGAATCATAGTCTTTCACCTTCTTTGTTAATGGTTTCATGGTGATTATGCGGCTTATAGCAATTTTTTAAACGACGTGCATAACGTATATACTTTATTAAACAATACATAGTATCGATTTTTGAATCTTCTTACAGAATTTTGGTCTATTCGTATTTTTAATATATTTTATCGATCAGTTATCACGAGTAGCGAATCTTTTCGTAAGAATGTTCTAAGATTGTAAAAATACGTAAGAGAACGTACGTAAATCGTTTGAAGAGCTTATATATATATATATGAAATCTGTGACACGATACACGCAATTACGAAGGTGCGGTTCCGGGTAGATGCCGTGACGTGGTTCCTCGGATCGAGTCCCTTTGCATCGTGTGTAGCAACACGGCAATAAACCACTACAGTAACGATGCATAATCTAATGGCGGGTTGCCTCCTGCGATAAGTATGGGACAGCTTGCTTCGTACCTCTCTGCGGTTCATTAATTGCAGCTTGCTCTCTCGACTAGCGTGCTGTTATTCCGATCGTCCAAGCGGGACAACAACAACCAGGGGTTGAAAGAGAAAAAGCCTCGTCACACACGTGTCTACAATAATGCCTACATTCTTAAAGGGAACCTTAGAAAGAACTACGAGTTTCCTTTGTTTTATCTTTTTTCCAGTTTCCTTCTCGGACGAGGATATTAATCGACCATTAACCGACAATTCATGCACGTAAATCGAGTTCGCTGCACACCAATTTCAACATCGTTAAATGGGAATCTTTGCCTCGAATTCGTTCGAATTCGTGAAAGATTCCGACGATTTTACAGGTTCCTATGCACGAAATGTACTGTAAAAGCGATCTCCGATAAAAGTAATTCGCAAGATTTACTTTCCGACATTCGTCTCCTTCGTCTTACATGATCGTTTCTTTTCTTAACAATTTTTCTTTGCAATCTTTTTTTCTTTCTTTGAATTAAAAATTCCCCCCATTTCTGGCATCGAACTTTTTTGTTTCTCATCAGACATACATCGTGTCATGGCCGTTTGACTTTCCTCGAATCCCTCGCGAGTCGTAATTGCCTGCGTCTCGACAAATATATCGCGTGATATATTCGGATTAATAGACGATGCACTCCCGTGTACTCGTTTGTTGGAATATGCAATTTTATCAAGTATCTATTATCTAAGATACTCGATAACAACCTGTAATTAATTGGCACCCATGTATCTTCTGTTAAGAGATTTTCATAAGAGAAACAAATCCGTGTTCGTAATCCGTACAACACGAAACGAAATTTGTAATTGTTCCCGCAAATTAGACGAAACGAAATAACAAGGAATATATATATATACGATTTAGGAAAACTTTTCACTTTGAAATATTTGATTTTAAGATTTCATTAATGAACGAAAGTTTAGAGAAATAAAAGGATCTTAAACTCGCCCGGTTGTTTGTGAGATTATTACTTCGTATTCAGAGAACAACAGAGGCAACGCGCGTCACCAATGATCATTTTGTTTGGCTGCGGTTTACGGAAGTCAGCTGTAAGCAACAGTCTCCTCTGTTCCTAGTTGCGCGTTCTATATTAAACTTAACATAGCAAACGTTATTTTCCGGATTAATTTAATTTTAAGACGTTTAAGATGGCGAAGGTAAATTGCAAAGATGAAAAAGAAACTTTAATATCAATCCTCAGTTCTCGTTTTTCGTTATTCGATTAATCGTTGCGATTTCGCAGCGAGAGAGGATATAAAAAAGATGATCGCAATTGCGAAAGGGAAATGAAAAAAAAAAAAAAAAAGAAAGAAGAGAGTGAACGTGCTTACTAATTTGCGTTTAAAATTACACTCGAAAATCAACCACTATTCAACGATTGGCCGTTGTTTGTTCAATCCCTTCCTTAGACGTTTAATTTTCTTTCATTACGTGTAGAAGAAAAACACGTGTATCAAAGGAATTTCTCGTGCACATCGATGTCAAAGGCTTTCCTTTCTTCCCGAGGCCTTGCTCGTTCATTACTCGTTTGCTCGATTATTTAATTTCCCTGGTGAATGGAAGGGAGACAAAGGGAAACCCGTGGCATCGGAAAATCATGAATACATGTGTATCGTCGTGTTCAATGGATGGAAAATATCTCGTAGATTAAAGTATCGTTACATATCTTGTTACGTATTAAATTTGTAGTTTTATATTTCAACGTAACCCTGAAAAATAATATTACACGCCGATATACACGAAGTATACCCATATACAATTTATTTCTTTATTCTGCTTTAACACAGGTTAAAGTTTCGATCAGAAAAAAAAAATCGCTTTCGCATGCTGCGCACTTAAAAGTAAATACTCTTCCTTTAATGCAGTTAAATGCAAAATAGCTCGCATAGTTTAATTAAAAGAGCTTGCCTCGCTTGTCATCTCTACACCCTCGCACCCTTCTCTTTCTACTCGTGTACAAACAATTCAATGTATACGCATGCTTTATATATATATCTGTAACCAGTTTACTACATGTTTACTACACCGGTTATATTCTATCGATAAATAATTCGAATTTATCGTATTAAAGCGCGCATCGTGATACTTTATAACCAGAGATGTAAATCGATGTAAATCGTAAACATCATCGTGAACGCGATCTTGGTTAAGAGTTGGTTGTGTCGTCACACAACGATCGAAGTAAGGGGTTCTCGGTTGCGAGAAATTCAGGGAAATGGTGACGTTATTTCAGCATGTCGCCGCGTAATGGCTCGTGCGTGGCGGAAGTAAGCTCGGTGAGGAGTCTTTCGTCGGACGATGTCTCGGCGACGAAGACGAACCGGAAGAAATCCTGCTGGGCACGTGCTACGGATCCGGCTCATCGCCGTGGACGTCGAATTCAGTTGTTGCAGATGTTGGTTTTGCCATTCATACCGATCCTAGCATTGATCGTCCAGACAGCTAATACCCTCCACGATATCTTGATCTATCGGCAGGAGGTCTCTGACATCGAAACGCAGGTAATTCTAAAGAATTAAATCTTCCTTCAATTAAATAATTTATTCACACTTTTGACGATTTGTTGCTCTTCTCGTTACTTTAACTTCGATTTTCTTTCTCTTTCAAATTCGAGAGTCAAATAAAATTTCTAAAAAAAGATTTCGAAAAATAAAGTTTGTTGGTTCGCAATTTTCATCACGAAATATAAACGTGTAATTTAACGATAATCGATCGATGAACTATGCGAAAGGAACGAAGGAGCGAGTAAACATGCGCCACACCTACGCATTCATTCTTTCAATCGTAGTGCTACGATCCCACTGTCCATTTCTTCGATTGTTTCACGGTATAGATTATGACAACGAATTGATTTGCAAACACTTTATCGATGATTTATAATGATTTTATGGTTTATCTATACGATAGGATAATTTTTCTGAAAAATGAATTTCTTTTCCTCTCTCTTCTTAAACTTGATTAAATCGTATCACTGTGTGTTACGATGTTATCTATCAAGATTTTAATTAAAAAATAAATTTTCAAATATATACAATGATGTAATTTAGTAAATTTTTATTATTTTTTTTTTTCGGCAATTTATTTATCGCTCTTTTTAACGAAAAAAGAAAAAAAAAAAGCATTTGTTATTGCGAAATATACGATGATTACTAAATCGGTATATTTTATGGTTGACCTCGATTTCTTCATTTTCCAGTTCAATGCCTTCTTTAATGTACAGTCGCTCCTCTTAATATCGGGCATGCTAAATTTTAATGAAACTTAATTCGACTTTAACGCGCTCATACGAATTTAACAATAACGAATTAG